CACCCCTGCTGTCAGCCCGACTACTCCACCAGCCTGGGCTCCTAATGCACCCCTGCTGTCAGCCTGACTACTCCGCCAGCCTGGGCTCCCGATGCGTCCCTGCTGTCAGCCTGACTACTCCACCAACCTGGGCTGCTAATGCACCCCTGCTGTCAGCCTGACTACTCCACCAGCCTGGGCTGCTAATGCGTCCCTGCTGCCAGCCTGACTACTCTACCAGCCTGGGCTCCTAATGCGCCCCTGCTGTCAGCCTGACTACTCTACCAGCCTGGGCTCCTAATGCGCCCCTGCTGTCAGCCTGACTACTCCACCAGCTTGGGCTCCTAATGCGCCCCTGCTGTCAGCCTGACTACTCTACCAGCCTGGGCTCCTAATGCGCCCCTGCTGTCAGCCTGACTACTCCACCAGCTTGGGCTCCTAATGCGCCCCTGCTGTCAGCCTGACTACTCCACCAACCTGGGCTGCTAATGCACCCCTGCTGTCAGCCCGACTACTCCACCAGCCTGGGCTCCTAATGCACCACTGCTGCCAGCCTGACTACTCCGCCAGCCTGGGCTCCCGATGCGTCCCTGCTGTCAGCCTGACTACTCCACCAGCCTGGGCTCCTAACGTGCCCCTGCTGTCAGCCTGACTACTCCGCTGGCCTGGACTCCTAATGCGCCACTGCTGTCATCCTTACTACTCCACCAGCCTGGGCTCCTGATGCGCCCCTGCTCTCAGCCTGACTACTCCGCCAGCCTGGGCTCCCGATGCGTCCCTGCTGCCAGCCTGACTACTCCACCAGCCTGGGCTCCTAATGCGCCCCTGCTGTCAGCCTGACTACTCCGCTGGCCTGGGCTCCCGATGCGTCCCTGCTGCCAGCCTGACTACTCCACCAGCCTGGGCTCCTAATGCGCCACTGCTGCCAGCCTGACTACTCCGCTGGCCTGGGCTCACGCGCAATACTCCAGCATTATCTATTCGTATCCTGTACTACTGACATTATTTATATCCAACATTATTCAGAGGCCCATCATGCATGGATTTCTGGAAACAAAGCCGGCTCCGGTCCGGCTCGTCATCATGCGTTGCAGGGCGGTGGGCGGATGTGAATGAATGGCCGGTGGCCACTCCCCCGACTCAGTGACGAACGCGGCTGACCAGACAACGCGCCGACGCACCTGACGCACAAAGGCCGCGTCTATGAGCTCGACGGGCGTGTTTCCCAGCTCTCGGCCCAAATGAGTCACCTGTGCCCGGAAGTGGTCGGCATCACTGGTGACAGGTCGGCGCCTGGCTGGCGGTGACGCCCACCTTTTCGAAATCCCTCGGCCCGATGCGGCGCAACCCCTGTCCGCGTGCGGCTATCTGAGGGCGTTTGCCCCGAGGGCTTCGCGTGAACAGCAGTCTTATCCGGCCAGACGCCAGACTGCAGCAGCGCGGCCTGTTGGCGTCGGAAGTGGTCGTTAGCTGGGGCGAACTGCACGTCCTGGCAACCGCACGAGTCACGTGGTCCCACGAGGGCCCGTGTTCCGAAGAGAGGCGTAGTTGCACACAGAAGCACACAAGCAGTGCACTTCGGGACAGTGCCATGTGGATTCGGGCCAAAACGAGTTAGTTCTGGTTGTCTGGATGAAGCAGAACACGTTGATGAAATTTGTTGACACCCTTCACCCGTAACTTTTGACACCTGTAAAATTTAGCATACAGCCTCATCTCATCAAGTCTAGGACCTAATTCTATCCCTAGCTCGCGCTTTCGGGTGCACCTATTGCGTACCAGCGTGACTGCCATGTTTTCTAGGTTCGACAGCCTCCTGCGGATTTTCCGGCATGACAGTGGACTTAAGAACGAGACATGACATCCGCTTCAATGCAATTCATCAGCGTGGTTCTGCTTGTCGGGGCTATTGTGACGTATGGCAACAAGTCATAAAATATTATCAGTCACCTTTGAGGCTTGTTCGACGTCATCTGCTTTATAGCCTTATATCTATGGTTGCTAGTGTTGGGGAGGCCTTTAGCTCTTCATGTATTTGATATTCAGCGTCAGCCTAACCCATTTCGCCAGTTTTTCATGCAATCTCTCCAAAGGTGCTTTGGTTCAGTCCGCTACACAAGTATATCTCTAAGCACAATATTGGTTGCCACATCCGTTTGACCTCAGGTTAGGAAAGACGGCAAACGCAGAAGACATGAGCACATGTATTGTTTCTTAATATGCTTACATAAGTTCGATGTTCTGAGAATAGCTTTACGCTTCCCATCTTGACAGTTATGGTCATCAAATATGCCAGGAGGTACTCGTTAAAAGACGTTGTCAAGCAAACATTGGTTACATTGTGCATTAGTTTTATTGTTCTTTTGGGGGAGAGCAGCCAGCATTGCGTCAGTTTTTTACTTTTACCCCCATGCCAATAACTGGTGAGAATAGAGCCAAGATGCGTATATGTGCAGGTATTGTCAGGCACACATCAAGTGGTAAAATTTTGGAGATCGCGACCTCTTTTTTGGAACATATCCCTGCATGTTTCCCTCTCAAATGTTACAATCAGCCCCAACTATGGGGCAAGTTGTATAACATGATGGGGAAGTCGTGTTGTTTGTTTTACTTGGAGTAAGCCGAATCGCAAGGAAGCTGAATGCGTTACGGTAAGGAACAAAAGACGTTCGCCTCTGCTATTTCTTAATTTGTCGTGAATTCGGTGTGAGAAATATCTACCCCTTCTTATTAAATAGCGTTTATTTTACAACAACCACCATTACGGATTCGGTTGCTCAGACAGGAATCACGGATCTACGTAGGCACTCTAAATGCCGACCTATTGTCTGGATGACAACAAGAAATGGCAACCCTGCCAGCCAGTCGTTGACGATTAGTCGGTGACATCATCGTCCGTACATTACATCATTGATACAACATATCTCATGCACAGAAGATGTAGTATGTATCGCCCGACATCTGGGAAAAATGCTCACACCATCCCAAAATCCTTGGCAAGCAGACCCCGAACGTCACGCAGCATATGCGGCACAAGTACCTCCACAATACTGAGTATAGCATTCTGATTAGTCCGGGTACGCTAAAGGACCTCAAACGCATTTTCACCGATCGCTGGAGATTTCGGCGATATGCGGAACACATATTTGTAGCGCTCGTTTCAAGACGTGTGCACGCATGGGGCCGGAAGTACACTGGAAGATGTAGGGCGCTGCTGTGCGTCAGCCGAGTGACTTAAGACCGACATCTGTCGCGCAGACTTAGAGTAAATCGCCCTGATGCTGCTTAGTCATGGTACAACTCATCCCACTCTCCCCCACATTCGCTGCATTGTGTGTTTTTAGACATTCGTTGCATTGGTGTGGTTGTATCGGTTAAATGCATACATTGGTTACATTATATCTATTCCATTCGCCATTATTTTTTTACAGTACAGCCCACGTTTCCTTGATAACATCCACTACAAATTATGCTTATGTCCAAATGCATCAATTACCAAATGGTGCGTAATACAACACAAATGCTTACGGGATGACTTTACTGTCTTCCTTCACAGATCACGACAGGAAAAATGGGCTTTGGTCCTGCTTTGCTATTTCTCGCGCGCTGCAGACTTAGCACCAAATTGGGTCCCTGTCTGATGACACAAGCATGTAGATGCTGCTTGATGTGATAAGAATGGAACGTATGGTCACTTAGTTATTTCATATGGTTATCGTCTACAAAGCATAGGTGGGTTAAGATATTCTGACTTGAAATATTCAATAATGGTTTCATTGGGAAATGCAGCAGGCTGAGCATCAATAATGCAGTAATTCGGCATTCCTAGAGCACACTGTATACTATTAACGATCGCATTGTTTGGAGATGTTTTGTTCGTTTCACTAAAGAACGGTCCTCATGAAAGAGCAAAAAAAAAAAAAAAAAAAAAAAACGGTGCCTGAAATATACGTCCAGGTCATTTCGATAACTTACCCAATCTAAGACAGCTTTTAGGCTCTTGTTCGCGATGACATGACTTTAGAACTAATTGTGTTTTGTCCAGTCTCCTTCTCCGATGTAAAAAACCCGGTCAGTTGAACGCAGGTCTGCACGGAGAGGCTTGCTAATGCTGTCGCTTGCGAGAGCTTGCCACAGAGGGGATCGCCCAGGAGATGCATCCGACACGCAGTACTAGTACAATATCTGGGTGCGTTTCCCTGGTCCGCCCAGCATAATGTCCTGTTTGCTACTACAGTTGACTTCGCACTGAAATAACCTCCCGTGGCCATGCTGGCCATTCATGGTGTCTGGAGCTTCGCCAGCCCATGCGCAGGCAAATGCGGCTGGCCTTCCATTAGACCTTCTGGGCCTCTGTGGCTTGGCGACACGCGCAAGAGCTGTCTCAGACTGTTGATCGTAAACTCCAGCAATCTCTTTTCTTGGGCACTTGACTGACACGCGAGTGTTTCATCTCATGGCTTAAGATCATGCCTCGTGTGGGAAAGCTCCCTTTTGTTCGGTTGAAGGTCCTTTCAAGCATTTACACCTGTTTGAGGACATTGAACACACCTTTCAGACTCTCCAGACACCCCCATAAATCCAACCCAGCCCGAATCATAATCATCGTTATGTTTTTTCCCCTACTTGGTAGGTTATGGTGGTAAAGCAGCGTCTTCTCTAAATGCGACACCGTATACCTCCCCCAGATACGTAAAACGTTTAACGTCTTGCGTGCGATGGGCTGTTAACACTTGTCCAAGGTGACGGCACGGGATTTGCAATCAAACGCATGCCACGTGGTTTTGAGCACCATGACGAGCTGACTAATCCGCTGTGACTCTTGTAAGGCCGCGTATTATTAACCTTCTGTGTTATCAGCATTAGCCAGGCTCCGCCGGTTTACGACGGCTGACGTCACAGTGACGGCATTGCCCGCGGCTGGGGCCGCCCCGCCATTTCTCTTTTCCGATGATCGGAGTCGGCGTCCGGTCAAAAGCGCGCGCGCGCGAGCGTCAATCATCACTCAGCATCGTACAACCATGCGGCTCGTGCTGCTTCTCGTCTGCGCAGCGTTCGTCGACGCCTCGCCGATCCTGTTCGGCGGCGGCGAGGACTGCACTTCGTCGGACGGCCGCAAGGGGCGCTGCGTATCCGCCAACGCCTGTCCTCGGGTGACTGGCCGCGTGCAGCCCTCTTGCGTTCAGCCGTGCGGCTTCCGGCACGGCCAACTGCAGATCTGCTGCCTGCCTCCCAAGCCGGCGGCGCCGGCCCCAGTGGCGCTTCGCTGTGGCGTGGCCGGCGCCGACAACTCCCGCGGAGCCCCGGTGCGTAACGTGGCGTTCGGCCGGGACGCGGCGGAGAGCCGTTGGCCGTGGCTGGCGCTGCTGGGCGTGCAGGAGCCGGCTGGACCGCGCTGGCTGTGCGGCGGCGCACTGCTGAGCCCGCGCCACGTGCTGACGGCCGCGCACTGCGTGCCGGCCGACGCGAGCCAACTGCTGGTGCGCCTGGGCGAGCACGAGCTCGGCACGACTTCGGACGGCGCGCACCAGGACCGTGCCGTGGCGCGCACCGCCGTGCCGCCGCAGCGGCGCGCCAGTCACGACGACCTGGCCGTGCTCGAGCTGGCGTCACCGGTCACGCTGGGGCCGCGCGTGCGGCCCGTCTGCCTGCCGGACCCGAAGGTGCGGCTGGTAGGCCGGGACGCACAGGTGGCCGGCTGGGGTCGGCTGGCGTTCGCCGGCGACACGGCCGTCGTGCTGCAGGAGGCGCGGCTGCGTGTGGTGCCGCTCGACACCTGTGAGTCCGCCTATCGACGTCTGGCCAGCTTCACCGACAGCTTCCCGGGCGGCTTCGGCACCACCAAGCTGTGCGCCCAGGACCCGGAGCGACGCGGCGCCGACGCTTGCCAGGGCGACTCTGGCGGCCCGCTGATGGCGCAGGCCGCTGACGGCACGTGGTCCATCGTCGGCGTCGTGTCGGCCGGCGTCGGCTGCGGCAATCCCGACTTCCCCGGCCTCTACACGCGCGTGGCCAGCTACCTGGACTGGATCCACGAGCAGATGACGTGACGTCGCACGGGAGGGTTTGACGTCATCAGGGATTGGCTCCTGACGGCATGACGTCACTGGACCGGCTCCGTCCGTGGAAACAGCCCTGCATGTCAGTGCGCTGCAGGTTTTATTGTTGGTATGTTGGGCGGTTTGCGGCTTACATAAGGAACGGTTATTGATGGCTGACGTATTCAGCTTTTATTGTTGCCCCAGACGAACAACTCCATGCCAGCGATTCCAACTATGTTCTCAAGCCTGGCACTTCAGCGAATTTAGTGATAGTTGGTGTTAGATAGGGTTTTGCACCGCCAGCTAACAGGGTGATCTCAAGATGATCTTTTTAAGGCCGTTATATTTGCATCAAATGTTTGCATGGTGAGGTGTGTTAAGCTATGGGCCAATTTTTATTGTGATATCAAAACACTTTTGGAAACTTTGACTTCAACGCTATCAAACAAAACGTCAGTATCACACCTGAAACATAATGTCACTATCACACCCCAAAACATAACGTCACTATCACACCCCAAAACATAACGACAGTATCACACCCCAAACATAACGCCAGTAAAACACCCAAAACACACAGATGCTTAACTTGTTTCTACAGTGTCTTTAATCACCCGTTTTGCCCACAAAGACTGACGCATTGCTGGCGATGGGGTGCAGATGGTCCCGCTCTAGCTGACAGGAAATCCTGACAATGGAGAGCACATCGTTAATGACGTCATCTGCTGTATACACCTTTTGGATGACAACTTAATACTCGTCTACCCAAGACGCTTTCATATGACGTGATGCGGCTCCATTGCATGTTCTTCGTCGAGTATGTATCTGTGTAAATGTTGTTATGCGTCCACGAATTGAATGCACATGTGTTTTGCCTTAAGTTATGAAGCTAGTATTCTATGAAGTGGCATTGTAGTAATGTGTATTTATCTAGGGAGTAAATAGGTAAATAGCGCTGCAAGACGTACTTATTTGAAAATGTATTGGAGCGTATCTGGTAAATGTGTATGTGCCCAATATGCGACATGCCAGAAAGGACGCAAATTTTTACACGTCTCTTGCATGTTGCATTATTCACACATACGATAGTTTGTGTATAAGTGCATTTGTGTGCGCGTAAAAATGCAGGGATGATGTTTCACTGAGCTAATCAGATTGAGTTCCGACGGGATTTGGGCATTATGCAGCCCCATTTTTCACATTCTTCGTGTCACGTATTCACACATGAAGTGCGAATAAATAAAAATGTTTTGGCCGACTTTTTGTGGTTGCGCTGCTTAACGTTCGAGCGTTCAAGTAGGTGGCCAGTCGGATACAGGATGCTGAAAAGATACCTACGTTTCTCCGCGATGCTACGATTCGGAGATTGGGTGAGGCGCGGTGTCAAATTGATGACTGGAGTGGACGATTTGACCGTAAATGGTGTTTCTAAAGGGGAGATCGCGGAACAGATCTACTCATCGAGCATTGGGGACATTAAGTCATTTTAGCACAGATGTAGGAGGCACGTCCTCTTCCGCATTCCCAGTGGTTAAACCCACACAAACAGGCATACATAGTGCAAATGGGGATGACAAAAGAGCATACGCGCTCCTTAACCCGGTCTCCTTAACTCCTTAACTCCTTAACCCGGTCTCTTTAACTCCTTAACTCCTTAACCCGGTCTCTTTAACTCCTTAACTCCTAAACCCGGTCTCGCACCGCCGGCCCCGGTAATTCTGCCGACTAGCTGCACTAGGCCGAAGACATTCGGCCCCTATGAGTCAAGCTCTGTTCAACTAAACGTATTTGGGCAGTGGACGCGTCAAAGATGCAGGAATCTGTTCCTTAGCCTGCAAACATGCGGCCCTTAACAATGCTTCCTTGAACAGGTCATGCAGCGGGCCGTTCACGCGACGACGGTTGGGAGTCGTTCATGGCCGGCGGCACTGCCAGGCGGCGGGCCGACATTCCACACGGCCACACGGCTCGCGCCGGACGGTCCGCAGGGCCGCTGCCGGCGCGTCGGCCGCGCCAGGAATTAGGTCCGCCTGCCGCCCGTCGGTCGCAGTCTATGGGTAATCGATGGATGCGTGTCTGCCTCGTGCATGCCGACGACCAGCGGCCGGGCCGACACGCGGTGTGCGCGGCCATGTGTGCCGTGCGCTGTGTACTGGATACCGACCTCAGCGACGCCGCTCGACCGGTGTCGACAGGACCGGGCCCTGTCGGCCGAGGACCGCCGGCTGCCTCGGGCGAGCGCCGTCCGACTGGTGTCGACAGGACCGGGCCCTGTCGGCCGGGGACCGCCGGCTGCCTCGGGCGAGCGCCGCTCGACCGGTGTCGACAGGACCGGGCCCTTTCCGCCGAGGACCGCCGGCTGCCTCGGCGAGCGCCGCTCGACCGGTGTCGACAGGACCGGGCCCTGTCGGCCGGGGACTGCCGGCTGCCTCGGGCGAGCCCCGTCCGACCGGTGTCGACAGGACCGGGCCCTGTCGGCCGAGGACCGCCGGCTGCCCCGGGCGAGCGCCGTCCGACCGGTGTCGACAGGACCGGGCCCTATCGGCCGAGGACCGCCGGCTGCCCCGGGCGAGCCCCGTCCGACCGGTGTCGACAGGACCGGGCCCTGTCGGCCGGGGACCGCCGGCTGCCCCGGGCGAGCGCCGTCCGGGTGCGAAGGAGCACGCGCCCAGGCGGGGTTAGACGCTGGAACAGCAGGCAAAGTAAAGCCGAAGACGTAGTATCGGTCTATCAGGAACCGTTGGAGCCTTGCAGCTCGCATGAGGTGACAAGCCCCGCCGTTGATATGGCAAATCGTAAAGTCAGTCGAAACGGTGCAGCCCGAATAGTGTGGCGGAAAATGTCAGTCGGTCCGGTTATCACCAAGTCGTTCAATATCAACCGGCTTTAAGTTGTAAAATGGTGCACCCCGAGATCCAAGTCCATTGGCGTTCCAAGTCCTGGTGAGGGTGGCCCCTTCCTCCAGTCGAACAAAAGAGGCGCCCCAAACTCAAGTAGATGATTTCCAATACACTGCAACGCACTGCAGTGCTCCGTCCCAAGGACTGTGAGGCACCTGCGCCCAAGGCGTCATGGAATAACGTCTCCAAATTTCGTCCGTGGGGGACTCTTACAATGAGAAGAGTGGCACCCGCTTACGTAGGTGGAAGTCCACCCCAGTCCTAGATAATAGCGCGTCCATAAACGTAGCAGGGTAGTCAACAAGCCGCGTAGGTACATATACGGGCACAAGCGTACGTAACATGCCTCCGTTCAGGTATTTAGGGCGCCTAGCTCGAGACAAATATCAAGCCCAGACGTATGGGGAGCCCGGGTGCTACAGCCGGGCGTCTTCATAGTACACGGATGTCCAGTGGTCAGATAAACGGTCGCCGCGGACAAACAGCAGTGCAGAACCTCCAAAGCTCGGCAAGAGAGCTCTCTAAACCCAATCAGACGTGCACTCAAGAGACCAGGCGAGCATCCCGAACCTGGTTGGTTTGGCAGCAAACCTGAGTACAAACCTAGACGTTCTGAAGCACTGCCTTGAAGATAAGTCAAGCTTACATAAGTTTCAAATGCATGCATTTGTGATGTCCATTGGTGACCATATGAGGATTTTGGGCATTTTAACGCACATGGACAACATCCTAAGCCTCGTCTATCAGATTGTCTTAAAAACATGTATTTAAGACTATCTGACGACTCAAACTAGCCTGTGAGATTTTCACCTGAACCCGACCTACGGTTCAAGAGTTGCATCAACCTGGCATTTTGAGGAAGCTGCGACAGAGGGCTTTCAACAGTCTCTTCCTCCTACAAGGATAAAGGGAACGTCACAGACTTGGTCACTTTGGGATCCAAAATAGCACATTTATCTCTCCTCTTGTTTTATTGCGAAAATGGTGACCTATTGTTCACTTGACCTCAGGTTACGTGACTCCGTTTCACCTACAGCAGTGCAATACATAACCTATGTCAGCGCAAAATGAGCTCAGGCCTATCATCTTTAGCTCATTTAAGTGTGGGATATAACTTATATATTACAATTAGAGAGATGCAATTACACCACTCACCATGTCTGTCTCCGACCTGACTCAATCGGAGAAAATAGTCCTTGCATCTCCATATCAGGCACCGTGCTGCAAACGCATTACGCGTGAACTGCCGTCAAATCATCGAGCTGCCGTCAAATCATCGAGCTGCCGTCAAATCATCGAGCTGCCGTCAAATCATTGAGCTGTCGTCAAATCATCGAGCTGCCGTCAAATCATCGAGCTGCCGTCAAATCATTGAGCTGTTGTCAAATAATCGAGCTGCCGTCAAATCATCGAGCTTCCGTCAAATCATCGAGCTGCCGTCAAATCATCGAGCTGCCGTCAAATCATTGAGCCGTCGTCAAATCATCGAGCTGCCGTCAAATCATCGAGCTGCCGTCAAATCATCGAGCTGCCGTCAAATCATCGAGCTGCCGTCAAATCATCGAGCTGCCGTCAAGTCATTGAGCTCCGTCAAATCATCAAGCTGCCGTCAAATCATTGGGCTGCCGTCGAACAATTGAGCTACCGTCAAATGAGCTGCCGTCAAATGCTCCCTGCCAGCAAAAACACAACTCAAGAAGAAGGAAAACGTTCGGAACATCACCGCGGCTACCCAGCTTCAATGTTTAGGATGCACTCACTGAGGCAGAGGGCCGCTCCTCCGGGTCGTTCTGAGAGTCATCGTTACCAGCTATGCCGAACGGAGTATTTGCAGGCTCTGAGAGCGCTCATCAGCATCATGGCTTTTGAAAGTCACACCGTTGGGCTTCTGTCGACTTTCGCGGCTTCCGCCGCCATCATTGCCATCACAGGCGCTTCTGCTCAGGCGACGAGTCAACAAACTGTTAACCGCACGGGATCAAAAGTCGTGTTAAGGATGGCACTGCTAACATTATATATACATACATATATATATATATATATATATATATATATATATATATATATATATATATATGTATATATATATATATATATATATATGTATATATATATGTATATATATGTGTGTGTGTGGGTGTGTGTGGGTGTGGGTGTGGGTGTGGGAGTGGGTGGGTGGGTGTGGGTGGGTGTGTGGGTGGGTGTGTGGGTGTGGGTGTGAAGTGTACTCATACGAACAGTAGTGCGTCTTGATGAGGTCCGTGATTTGGGCATTCAATTCAGGAGCCAGATGCGATAATAAGGTTTGAACAACACTGGCACTACGCTTTGTGACGGCGGACGTTACGTTTTGTGACAGTTGACGCTTTGTAACGCTTTATGACTGTTACAGCAATATTCCTCACCCTAGGTCACGAGGCAACCCACCCGGCACCTCCCCCCCCCCCGCTCATCTCCCCTCAACCGCACGGTCAAAGAGGTTTCAGACGGGATTCTGATTGGCAGCCCTTTAAGATTTGAAGCCCTCTCAAGGAGAATATTCTGCCTGCGGCGCGTACCCGCTTAAGACGCAATACGCGATATTACGCAAGTTCGGTGCAATGTATAATTGTAATGCTGAAAAATACGCCGAGCTGCAAGGAAACTTGTTCATGGTTCAGTAAGCAAGCACACGTACGAATGAAAAGTGTCAATATGGCGGTATGGAGGCGGCTCAGGCCTGCAGTGGAGAGTCGACGGTCTTGGCGGAGGCCAATCACCATGATATGTGGCGAGACTTAGAAGGAGCGGGATCTGAGAAGCTCGATATAGGGCTCCGAGAGACCCAAAGACACGACTGGCACCCTTAGCAAATAATCTAGTGGCTCAAATTGACAGACTTGTGCTTGGCTCCGGCGAACTAAGATCAAATTCCGGAATCGATCCTGGTTTGGCCTGAATTGGGGTTTGGTTGATTGGCTGCTCGGTCAAATCGGAGTCGGAAGCGGTCCTTACAGTTTCCAGCAGAATCCGGGTACATTTGATTCCACTAAAAAAAAGCTGGTTCACAAAATGCTCAGCCACAATCTTTGTGATATCATCGCCAGCTTGCCAATCCCAATGACAAGATCAGCTTGGCAATGATCAGCTATTATTAGATAGGTACGCAAATTTGTGAATCATCTCTTCAGGTTAAGGGGATTTAAAGGGCTAGGTTTGCGACGCTGGAGTTGTCAAGAACCCAAAAATCACCACTTTGAAATGCAAGAATGTTTACCCCATTACCCTGAGCCTGCCGATGTCTCGAAATGGCTCGGAGGTATTACGATTCGTACACGAGGACATCCATTTAAAAATCGTTTTGCGAAACGCTGGTTGGATGTTCCGTTTGCCTCAATGGGCAGTTGGTAAAGTGCTGGCGTTTTTCCACCCATTACAATTAACTAAAAGGCTCTGATTCTGGGCGAGGTGAATTTATGCATTCTCACACATTGCCTGCATTGACATACACATAGCATGCATATCACTGCTTATTCATTTACTGTCTGCCCCGAGGCCCGGATCAGATCAGATCCGGATTCGGATCCATTTGATTTGGTTTGGATTCAGAACAGATTTCACCCAACTGAGATCAAGCACCAGCCCGCAAATGAGCGTCGTAAGATACTGACGCGTGGGACATCATAGGTTGCATAACACTGATATTGAGCCCCAGCTTCGCGGTATGCCCTGACTGGAGATGGGGAATCAAAGCAGCATGATTCAAATTTGGCGTGGATTTAGATAGATTTGAAAGTTGTGAATCTTCGAATCGTCACAATAAACAGTCAAGCCGTCACTCAGGGTTTAAAGTTGAGAGAAATGCACTGCATCCCAAAGGTCATCATATAAATAAGTTATCAAATGTGCTCAATATTTTCTCGGCTCACATTTCCTTCTTTTAAACGAAATGTAGCATGCCATGTTGGTTTTACATCCAACTAGGTCTTCCTCCGTTCTTTGTGTTATCGACATTGCATTGGCTTAAGATTTTAATGCAAAGGTTCAAAACATTTTTAGATATATTCGAATACTAAATCCGAATCCAAATCCGTATCCATCTAACATAAGATTTGAATAATATTTGCCGCGAGGCCTCGCGCTAGCTCCAATTTATGAAGTGGCCGCTGTCACCAAATCACGAGGGAGCGCCTTGAATGAAGGGATCAGTGCCTCATGGGGTTCAGAATCCCACGCAACACTGACGATCCACACGAAATGTGAACGTGCTGACCACGTGAGCCAAATCCAAATAAGCCTGTTTAAATCACACCGAGCACGCACCATGTGCCCTTACCAGGCTTTTGGCGCCACCACACCAACACCGAAGGCTGGTGAGCGGGTGCCCCCCCCCCCCCCTCCCCATCGTCGTTCGCCGCCCCCAGTGGTGTCCATTATTCACGTGCTCTGTTTGTGAGCGCCGCCGCCGTGGCGGCCACATTCCAGTCCAATCAATGGCGGCGCCTGCCGCGGCCGAGCCGGCGGGGTCAGTGTTCGCGTGACCTGAGGTCCGACAGCATGGGTGTGTGCGCCAGCAGCGACGCCGGCGGTGTGGTGTCACCGGGTCCCGGCTCCAGACAACCTGGGGCCACGGCCAACGGAGGGGAGGACGCAGGTGAGGTCACCGGCTAGAAAAGGTCACGAATGGGAGGGGAGGACGCAGGCGAGGTCACCGGCTAGAAAAGGTCACGAGTGGGAGGGGAAGACGCAGGTGAGGTCACCGGCTAGAAAAGGTCACGAGTGGGGGGGGGGGGGAGGACGCAGGTGAGGCCGCCGGCTAGAAAAGGTCACGAGTGGACGGGAAGGACGCAGGGGAGGTCGCCAGTCAGATAAAGTGACGAAGGGGGGAGAGGGCGCAGGTGAGGTCACCGGCTAGAAAAGGTCACGAATGTGAGGAGAGGACGCAGGTGAGGTCACCGGCTAGAAAAGGTCACGAATGGGAGGGGAGGACGCAGGCGAGGTCACCGGCTAGAAAAGGTCACGAATGTGAGGGGAGGACGCAGGGGAGGTCACCAGCCAGATAAAGTGACGAAGGGGGGAGAGGGCGCAGGTGAGGTCACCGGTTAGATTAGGTCACGGATGGGAGGGGAGGACGTAGGTGAGGTCATCAGCCACATCAGGTCGGGGAGATCGGTCAGGGAGGGGAGCAAACAACTGGGGACACCGGGATAAAGCATAGTGGCTGATGCTACGCAGTTTCACTAATGTATAAAGCATAGTGGCTGATGCTACGCAGTTTAACTGGCGGATAAAGCATAGTGACTGATGCCACGCAGTTTCACTAGTGGATAAAGCATAGTGGCTGGTCGTGCGCAGTTTCGCCAGTGTATAAAGAATAGTGGCTGATGCTACGCAGTTTCACTAGTGGATAAAGCATAGTGGCTGGTAGGGCGCAGTTTCACTAGTGGATAAAGCATAGTGGCTGATGCTACGCAGTTTCACTAGTGGATAAAGCATAGTGGCTGATGCTACGCAGTTTCACTAGTGGATAAGGCATAGTGGCTGATGCTACACAGTTCCACTCGTGGATAAAGTGGGCGCCTGCGCCTCAACTGCGGGGTCGAGATCGAGCGGTGTTCTGTTCTCGGCTCACTAGCAGTGCGGGGTGATCGAGATCGAGCGGTGTTCTGTTCTCGGCTCACTAGCAGTGCGGGGTGATCGAGATCGAGCGGTGTTCTGCTCTCGGCTCACTAGCAGTGCGGGGTGATCGAGATCGAGCGGTGTTCTGTTCTCGGCTCACTAGCAGTACGGGATGATCGAGTTCGAGCGATGTTCTGTTCTCGGTTCACTAGCCGTGAGTTGCCTCAAGCCGCTGTCATCCATTGTCTGGATTTAAAACGTGCCTGCAATCGGCAAGGGTGTGTGGCAGGGTGACTGGTATGCACCTGTACTCACTGGCGTGTACTCGCCTGTGCCTGGTGTGCACCTGTACTCACTGGCGTGTACCTGCCTGTGCCTGGTGTGCACCTGTACTCACTGGCGTGTAAATGTTTTCGGAGTGATGCCCCAGTGTACATCTGTACCATGTGCTCGCCATTGGATACGTTTCAGGTAGTCAGCATGCAGTTTGTTACAGCTGTACTATAACTGTAAGATAACGAATACGGCATTTCTAAAGAACTCAGGACATGGAGCAATTCACAAATTAGACGCCGCACTGCAATACTGATTTAGACATGCATCCATCCTTGGTCCGGACATGCCAATGACCGCCTGGTGCAACAAGCTCATGCAGAGCAGCAGACAGGAATTTGCGGTACACATCGAGCTGAAACGCAATTCCGTGTTTACAAACTCCTCACCGTCAATGACCTAAATTATTGGCGCTGATGCTAGAGGAAACCCTCTTCGTTGGCTTTACTCTAAATCGAGGCTTTGAGCCTCAGTTTCTTGGGCCGGAATTGAGTCATCTGACAAAACCTGAATGGAGTAACCACTTAGTATCACGTCAGTTAATAAGCCGGTGGCGTCAATAAAGACTCCGCACACCGAGTTTTGCATCATGGAATTTCAAAGCCGCAACAGATTTCATTAAGCTTTTTCATCGCGTTCCAAGAATAAGCAATACCTAAAGCTTGGGTAGAAAGCTGCCCAATCCGCCGTCAGTCCGGACTTAGTGCGCTGTTCACGACCTTTATTACTGCCGCGGGCTGGGAGCGGCAGGGCTGGGACCCGGTCCACGTCGTCTGGACAGGCGCTGACGGACGTCCGATGGCTGCCGCATGACACGCTCCGTCACGCTTTTCCGGCACGATTGGCCTTTAGAGGCAACGGTAGGGAACAGGGACGCGTGAAGATAGGTGCGACCAGCGCCTGTGCGCCACGCTACCGTTTGCGGCAGCGTTCTTAAAATTTGCGCAACGAAATGCAAGTAGCCGGCTTTTTGCACTGAAACCAGCTTCCTTTCGGCAGTATGCAGGCGCTTTGGTGGGGCTCCCGCCAGGGAAGGTGGCACTCAAACCGGCTTCCTTTCGGCAGTGCGCTGACGCCCTGGTGGGGCTCCCGCCAGGGGAGGGACACCCAAGCCAGCTTCCTTTCGGCAGTGTGCAGACGCTCTGGTGGGGCTCTGCCAGGGGAGGGGCACCCAAGCCAGCTTGTGACTGATGCACGCAGCTTGTTCTGAATGCCAGGCCGTTTAGGTAATGAAATCTGAAGCGACGGGTGGGAAAGAACGGCAGATGTCCGTCAGAGAGGATGGTGGATGTCGGTCAGAGAGTGCTGCAACGCTCTTACCTGCGTCGGCAGTTAAAGGACACCGGAGCCAGCGATCCGTCGGCGGTCACCGCTCTGCCGGTGACGCACTGCCAGCAGCCGGCGCAGCTCACCCCGGCCGCGGACCCGCTCACCCCGGCCCACGCTCAACCGCAGCCACTGTAGATCACCCCGGCCGCGGAGCCGCTTACCCCGGCCCACGCTCGACCGCAGTCACTGTAGCTCACCCCGGCTGCAGAGCCGCTCACCCCTGCCCACGCTTCATCGCAGTCACAGAAATCCGTCGTCAAACCATGGCGGCCCGACAAGCCAATGCGGTCGGTCAGCATACACTGAAATTTGTATGATCCGCAGCGTGTCACACACACAAACACACACACACACACACACACACACATATATATATATATATATATATATATATATATATATATATATATGTGTGTGTGTGTGTGTGTGTGTGTGTGTGTGTGTGTGTGTGTGTGTGTGTGTGTGTGTGTGTGTGTGTGTGTGTGTGTGTGTGTGTGTGTGTGTGTGTGTGTGTGTGTGTGTGTGTGTGTGTGTGTGTGGTGTGTGTGTGTGTGTGTGTGTGTGTGTGTGTGTGTGTGTGTGTGTGTGTGTGTGTGTGTGTGTGTGTGTGTGTGTGTGTGTGTGTGTGTGTGTGTGTGTGTATGTTTGTGTACGAGCGTGAGTTTTACGTGTTGTCTCCAAGACATCAGGTACGGAATCGGAAGAGCGTTCCACTCACATGGCGCCAGGCCTAGTTGTCAAAGGTGTTCAAAGTGCTGAAAAGCGCAAGGATTTAGATAATGCATATTTGTATAATATGCCAGCATTCGCTACGGAAGCATTGGTAACTACCTCGCCATCTATCACACCCTGCGCTTTTTGGCCGCTGAAAATAATCGCGAATTTTGGGCGTCCCCAGGTCATCGGAAGCCTTGAGTATAGGGGGTGGAATACAAAAACGGCCAGACGAGTTGTGCCGCTGTATTTAAAGCTAACGCCGAAAGCTACAGCGCTTGGTAGCAGTTTGACAACATGTTAATTCAGGCATAAGCCGTTTCCACGAAGCTACCCACCGGTGTGCGACGTTAGTGGTAGGCTATATGGCATTTATTTTATTTTGGCCTAAATACTGGATCCACATTGATGAGTTATACTATGGGTCGATACTTATTGCACAAAAAACGTGCTTGGATATATCTTCACAATTTTTCCAAGGGGATAATTTCTACTTGCACTTTGTTTTTTCCCCGCATAGTGAGGGTGGTATGTCACTTATGAATCATGCAGGATTCTACAGATTGCGCCACCCCAAATCTGGCAACATGGAGAACTCTTATAAATAATGCAGAATTTTACAGTTTGCGCAGCCCCAAATCTGACAACAGGGAGAACTTGGAAGACCTTGAAAATAAACCTCAAGGAAATAGCCACAAACAGTATGAGAGGTTGATATACAGATATCAACGGGCCAGATTGAAGAAGCCGTCGCCTGCCACGCCGAGCATTGCATCAAATCGTGGACGGACTGGTGATGCCGTCAATGCGATGGAGTCAGGCTATTGATCCGGATGATCCGGATGATCCGGCCTAATGTGGATGATCCGACTTTTTGTGTAAAACGCGGCGGTAGCTAACACACTGGCGCCGCTTTAACGAGTTCAAAAACTGGACAACTTTTGTGCACGCGCTAAAACATGGAAAAGGAAGCCTGTCCAATATCCCAGTATTCGTCATGTAACAGGATGTTTGGGGGATATTTTGCCGTAAAAAATATGCTTAAATGCTATCAGCTGAGTCTGACGAACCCTGCATTGCGCGCTGGTAAACCGTTCAAATAGCAACAGATGTATCAGTATATACAGAACGATTGCGCCGCCTGCCTGATTGGACAGCCGCAGCTTCCAAGAGCAAGGGCCGATGCAGCCAAATGTAGACTGGACGCGAAGGCCATGCAGTACACGAGGATCGAAAGCCTGCTGCTCAGAGGTGATGAGGACTGACTGTGTGCTCCATTGAATCAGAATATTTGCATTTGCATCATTGTGCCTAATATGGTGGTAGTGGCAGTAAGAGATGGGGTAATTCGCACCTCACCCCAACTGTACAACTCTGGAATATTTCGGAAAAGGTCACGCACACGTAGCAGCTTGATAACCTAATGACATATTTCAACAACTAAATTGCAAAATGAAATTTGTGTACATACCTCGTTCCCGTATCTACCTTAAATTGCCGCACATGACAACAGTCAATCATCTAGGGGACTTCACATACAGAATAATCTTGCCTAATTCACGTACTTCTCGTGGTGTCTCAGCCATATGCCCGGCGCCATTCACAGTCCATTCCTATGTTGTAATATATCGGCTGAACCCAACTGTTACCTTTCCACTTTCCCCGACATTCCTTAAGACCTAAATTTTAAAGAGCTTTCCGCTGAGCTTAAGTCTTGGTAGACAACTGCAGCGCAATGAAAAGTTACAGCTAATTAAGTCAGATAATTGCTGCACGAATGCTAGACCACTACAGTAAGCTGAGACCAAGGGCAGCTCAACCAGCGCGATTGGGTGATACTTCTGGCAGCACGCATCTTGCGGTGCTGCCAAATCTGCATTCAAGCCCGACCGATACCCGTTGTGTTTGTGTCCCGATGCGCTGACGCAGGCCATGAAGTCCTTTATCAAGGGGATATACCGGGGATTGCAGTCACCGGGCAGTGGTCCGCCCAACACCGGGTAATGGTCCGCCCAACACCGGGCAATGGTCCGCCCAACACCGGGCAATGGTCCGCCCAACACCGAGCAATGGTCCGCCCAACACCGGGCAATGGTCCGCCCAACACCGGGCAATGGTCCGCCCAACACCGAGCAATGGTCCGCCCAACACCGGGCAATGGTCCGCCCAAAGTGAAGGAAGTCGGACCACAAATGTCAGATCTCTGGACTTTGAAGAAAATCCAAGTAGCTTTTCCGGAGGGTAGTTTGTCTTAGAACAGTCTTTGGGATAATTTGAAGGTAAAATCCAGTCGGGTTTTGAAAACAAAGACACCATTTTGGATTTGGCTCCCAAGCCGGTATTGCCCCCTCTTCCCTTCAAAGTGGCGTTCTGAAGCTGCCCCTCTCCTTTGATAACATGACATGAAATAAATGTTGCAAATTATTTGTTCTTATTAGGGCTTCCCTTATATTTCTCCAAAGAAGCACTTGGTATCTACTCTTACGTATTTTCAACCAATTTTTCAACTGATGCTATTTTCGTCACACAAATGTCGGCGACATTTCAATGTTGCAGTGATACGCGCCTTGAGCGCTGCGTATAACAATTATTTCATCGTGTGTGCGAACGCCGTGCCGCGCAGAACATGAACAAAATTACATCGGTGTGTTCATACGCTGCGTGGCAACACGTCGCTGCTACCCTGAACTGTATTTAGGGAGGCCCTTTCGGCTGGATGGTTAAAGAAATTGAAACATGGAAACGCACAGCCACACACAAACCCGAATAAACGATGGGATTTCCTGCAACAGGCATGGTTATTGGTACTTTCTTCGCTAATTTAACGCGGCAGCTACTGGGAACATTTTCGCCAATTTGTGCCTGCATTCATCTGCAGGTCATGGTGGGAGCAAAAGCCGATTCATTTAGGACTTCTGTGAGATTCAGAAAACGATGCACTCAATCTGAAGCCAGTGGTAGCGAAGTATAAGAGCGTGGTTTGGGAACATGCCACTGACGTGACCTCACCTCTTCGGGCCCACAGGTGCCCTGACACCCGCACCATGTGGCACGGACACACTGACCTCCCGCCGCTGTGACAAAGGTGTCCTGACACCCGCACCATGTGGCACGGACACACTGACACTCCCCCCCCCCCCGCTGCCGTGACAAAGGTATCCTGACACCTTCACCATGTGGCATGGACACACTGACCTTCCGCTGCCGTGAAAAAGGTATCCTGACACCTTTACCATGTGGCACGGACACACTGACACTCCCCCCCCCGCTGCCGTGACAAAGGTGTCCTGACACCTTCACCATGTGGCATGGACACACTGACCTTCCGCTGCCGTGAAAAAGGTGTCCTGACACCTTCACCATGTGGCGCGGACACACTGACACTCCCCCGCTGCCGTGACAAAGGTGTCCTGACACTCTGTTTTCCCGCAGGCGGGGTCAACCCGGCCGCCGAGCTCATCCCGTCCAACCCGTTCTCGGGCGGCGGTGGGGGTCTGCTGGGTCAGCCGCTGCCCCAGCTGGATAAACTGAAGCAGAACGGCTCGGAGGCCGCCAGCGGAGCCTTCGGTGGCATCAGAGCAGGAGCTAGTGACGCCATGGGACAAGCCAAAGGCGCGGCTGGCAATGCTATGGACTCAGCCAAAGATGCAGCTGGCAATGCTATGGACTCTGCCAAGAACGCGGCTGGGGATGCGGTAAACTCGGCTAAAGACGCGGCTGGGGACGCTGTAAACTCGGCTAAAGACGCTGCTGGGGATGCCCTGGACTCGGCTAAAGACGCGGCTGGAAATGCCATGAATTCGGCTAAAGACGCGGCTGGAGATGCCAATGAACTCGGCTAAAGACACGGCTGGAGATGCCATGAACTCGGCCAAAGACGCAGCCGGGAATGCTGTAAACTCGGCCCAAGACGCAGCCGGCGACTTGACGGGGAGCGCGGCGGCCGCCGTCGGTATGGGCGGCGGCGACACCGGAGGAGACGACGGAGGAGACGGTGGAGATGGCGGCGACTAAGGCTACCGCGGCGCTGCTGGGATGATGGGGGCGTGGGGAGAGGTGCGAAATTTGATCAAGTGGTTGACGTCGTCAGAGGGGTTTTGCGGATTTGGCGCCGATGGTGCCGTGAGGAAGCGGCTGATCGGCTGAAGCCTATCAGAATCGGCGTTTGAAAACAGCGGCTGTGGATGAATGTTGTCATCGGCATATGCAGACCATGCCCACCCAGCTAATGATATCTAACCCACCTCATAGGCTGATCTTAGATTTGGCATGGCCAGGCTGTGATGGCAAAGCTACTCACTCGGACATAACCGCACATGCGCCTCGAACATGCGCCTCGAACATGCGCCTCGAACATGTGCATTTATGCCGGTTAGCCAGACCATTACAGGGTTGAAAAAGATGGCCCAACAGCAGCAGAGCTGTTCGGTGGGAGCTCGGGCGCTCATGAGTCGGTTGCCTAGAAGTTATAAATAGAACTTTGATACTGTTAGCGCCGATCGATGCGGAGCCGGTGTGGCAGCCTGTACAGGCCTGCAGTAAGTTCGCGTCTGTGCAGATAATTCGCATGGCTCGCTGCCCAACGATGACGCAAATCGCAGAAAGATCGTGTGACTCGGCCGCTGCCTTTAATGACGCAAACAGACCCAGCTGTCGCCAGACGGCGCCCGTTGGCTCCATTGCGCCGTGGCAGCGCGGAGCGTGGGCGACTTGTTATGCCCGTTCGTCGTCCCGTCGCCGTGTGGACTGGACGGTCGATTGAGCAAACCCAATGGTATGGGACTGTGGGAACCCATAGCAGCAGCGGCCGCCTTCGGCGCGGCTCTTCAGGAAGCCGAATGTGTGGGGACGGGCTGTAGCGGGCATCAGCCTGGATCGACCTGTGATTGTTGACGTCGTTTTTTGTTTTGTTTAAGAAAGCGCTTCTGTTTTGTTTTCCGGTTGTTCACAATTCAGAATGAAATCGAATGCTCTATTTTATCCATTTAACGATAGTCTTTTGGGACGGAATGCTCTATTTTGATCGGTAAAGAAATTAGGATAAATAGAGAACCAGGAAATAAGATGATCGAAGCCCTCATGCAGAGTTTTTCAACCAATCGTTTATACGTAAAGCACACATAACGGAGATGAAAACGTTATTCACTGCATACAATGTCAAAGCTCTCATCAAAGTCACATGAATGTCTCGAGCATCAATGTCAAGCACTGCTCATTGTATATCATGTATGCAAGTCAGACTTATTACGTGAGTGGTACGTGAACTGAACTATTGAATAAATCAATACGCACGGCAGCCGTTGCATGTCCATGAAGCATGCCACAGTACGACGAACAGGAAGAAAGCTGTTGTCACCCCGATGTCTTTGTCCGGTTCAGATGGCTCTTAAAATATTGCAGTACAGTTACCAGCCTGTTATTCGGCTCATGCTCTATTTTCTTCCTTGCGAAAAATAGATACACGAATAATAAGTTTACTTTTTGTCGTTTCATTGCAATCGCGCATGCACAGCTACCCCGTAGCACGGACAAACTGATATAAAAAGGTAGGAAGGAAGTCACCTTGCAGGCAACATGGAGCGCCAACGCTTAGGTCTTTGTTGTCCTTCATGTGCACAATACGTCTTTCCAAGAACTTTTGCCGGATCCAGTTGTTCACAGACTACATCACTGCGAGATGTGATCACCAACTGTACCGCGAGAAGTTCTAATCCACAAGCAGGAATACTATGACTCATCGGACCTTAACCTACCTGTGGCGGTTATGCGTGCCCCAGATCTCCCTAGGGGCTCGACACGCCGCAAGGTCGTGTCAATTAGGGCTGGGTTTGAAAGGAATTAAATTTGCTCAAGCGCTCATAATGCGTAAGCTGCTTGTTCACTCGACCCGACTTAATGTGAACAGGCGAAGCCAGGGCGTGGCGTCTCAGAGACACGTCACTGCCCAATACCAGGCTCTAGCCAACCGAATACAGCGCAAATGCCATCAATTACTGAAGTCAGCTTATCAGCTGGCTTGTATCCTGTAACAATCGCCATCTGGAACACTCGGTAGACCCAACAACACAACAGCATCACCCTCAGAGGGGCGCTGTGTCCTTGGACCTAAGAGCCGTTTCGTGACCTGAACCTGCAAGGTGCCCGAAAGTTTCTAGATTTGGTGACGTCAGTGCACCCAGGACATTTCGCATCGATCCAAGTCCACAACAGGCCAGCTACGAGCGCACACTAATGGTGCACAGCATTCACAACAACATCGTAAACCAGAAGGCGACGGGCTGCCCCCGGTGGCGGGCTCCTGTAATATGCATGACTTAGCTACATAAAAAGTTCCCCTAATGCCAGAGAGCTTACAGGATATCAGAACAGCTTGTGGGTCTGCGCCAGTGCCCCTAATTCCAGAGAGCTCAGAGCATCGGAGCAGCTTGTAGGTCCGCGTCAGTGCCCCTAATGCCAGAAACCTCAGAGCATCAGAGCAGCTTGTGGGTCCGCGCCAGTGCCCCTAATGCCAGAGAGCTCAGAGCATCAGAGCAGCTTGTAGCTCCGCGTCAGTGTCCCTAATTCCAGAGAGCTCAGAGCATCAGAGCAGCTTGTAGGTCCGCGTCAGTGCCCCTAATACCTGAGACCTCAGAGCATCGAGCAGTTTGTGGGTCCGCGTCAGTGCCCCTAATGCCAGAGAGCTCAGAGCATCAGAACAGCTTGTGGGTCTGCGTCAGTGCCCCTAATGCCGAAGAGCTCAGAGCATCAGAACAGCTTGTAGGTCCGCGTCGGTGCCCTAATGCCAGAGAACTCAGAGCATCAGAACAGCTTGTAGGTCCGCGTCAGTGCCCCTAATGCCAGAGAGCTCAGAGCATCAGAACAGCTTGTAGGTCCGCGTCAGTGCCCCTAATGCCAGAGAGCTCAGAGCATCAGAGCAGCTTGTAGGTCCGTGTCAGTGCCCCTAATGCCAGAGAGCTCAGAGCATCGGAACAGCTTGTAGGTCCGCGTCAGTGCCCCTAATGCCAGAGAGCTCAGAGCATCAGAGCAGCTTGTAGGTCCGCGTCAGTGCCCCTAATGCCAGAGAGCTCAGAGCACCAGAGCAGCTTGTAGGTCCGTCAGTGCCCCTAATACCAGAGAGCTCAGAGCATCAGAACGCTTGTAGGTCCGCGTCAGTGCCCTTAATGCCAGTGAGCTCAGAGCATCGGAACAGCTTGTAGGTCCTTGTCAGCGCCCCTAATGCCAGAGAGCTCAGAGCATCGGAACAGCTTGTAGGTCCGCGTCAGTGCCCCTAATGCCAGAGAGCTCAGAGCATCAGAGCAGCTTGTAGCTCCGCGTCAGTGTCCCTAATTCCAGAGAGCTCAGAGCATCGGAACAGCTTGTAGGTCCGCGTCAGTGCCCCTAATTCCAGAGAGCTCAGAGCATCAGAAGCTTGTAGGTCCGCGTCAGTTCCCTTAATGCCAGAGAGCTCAGAGCATCAGAACAGCTTGTTGCGTCAGTGCCCTTAATGCCAGTGAGCTCAGAGCATCAGAACAGCTTGTTGCGTCAGTGCCCTTAATGCCAGTGAGCTCAGAGCATCAGAACAGCTTGTTGCGTCAGTGCCCTTAATGCCAGTGAGCTCAGAGCATCAGAACAGCTTGTAGGTCCGCGTCAGTGCCCCTAATGCCAGAGAGCTCAGAGCATCGGAACAGCTTGTAGGTCCGCGTCAGTGCCCCTAATTCCAGAGAGCTCAGAGCATCAGAACAGCTTGTAGGTCCGCGTCAGTTCCCTTAATGTCAGTGAGCTCAGAGCATCAGAACAGCTTGTTGCGTCAGTGCCCTTAATGCCAGTGAGCTCAGAGCATCAGAACAGCTTGTTGCGTCAGTGCCCTTAATGCCAGTGAGCTCAGAGCATCAGAACAGCTTGTAGGTCCGCGTCAGTGCCCCTAATGCCAGTGAGCTCAGAGCATCGAAGCAGCTTGTGGGGCCGCGTCAGTGCCCCTAATGTTATTGTTGGTAGTAGGAGACGTGGCTTCATCTTGCTGGTACCATTGTCTATTGAAGCTAACACGTCGATTTCGACGAATGGTGACTGGCTTGCAGTGTCACCATAGTGCAGAGTGCAGAGTGCAGAGTGTCCTGACTTATTTGGACACCTTTCCGTCGACGGTCTGGAACCGAAAGGGTCCAGTTGTCAGGTGAAGTCATGGAAACCCAAGCAGTCCATTTTGCTCTCAGCAAGGCATCTGGGCGACATGAGTTCGGGGCATTTGCTTCTTCAGAGGTGATTGCCAGTTCACAGTATCACTGGGGTAGAGCGGCACCTTGTCCAAAAACTAAACTAAAAATGCAGCTTGGTCCATTGCAGACTTAATCTGGATTCACCACCTGATTACCACCGGCACATTCGGGTCGTCACTTCCCTATCACCGCCTGATTACCACCGGCACATTCGGGTCGTCACTTCCCTATCACTGCCTGATTACCACCGGCACATTCGGGTCGTCACTTCCCTA